GAAATTGCTTTCAAATTGAATAAAGTTTACAAGATTTGCTGTGCTGGACAAGGGATCCGGTAGCGGGAAATTATGGCTGATACCTGTCTGTTTAAATTGTTCCACCCCTCTTAGTTTGTTGAGAACCTTTTAGGGACAACGACGTGTGTTCAGAGGTGAGAAAATTATGAAACATGTTTTATACTTTTTAGTACTTTCTGGCTCACGGATTATAACGATGTTAAGGCATACTTCATCGTCGTATGTCCGTAGATTATGCATGAGAATGCGTCCGACATCTGTTAAACGTGAAGTGCCATGCGACATGAACAGTGAGGTGGCCGTTTTGAGGGCAGTATTACCATTTTTTCCCAATCACTCCTGCCCCCTTCACGGAAGGTAATCGGGTCTAATCCCGATTGGAGCGTGTGGTTTTTCTACAGAAGAGTGCCTTCAACCACACTCGATTTAACCCTTCGAAGCTCAGGCGTCTTTAAATAATACGTAAAAAGTCCGTTCCTTCTCACTTCTCCACTACGTAGGTATAGTCTTTAACGCTGTTTAAGGAAATAATCGCTGTTTATAATTACACTCAGTGGGCAAAATTCAGATTTTTAAAGAAGCGGTGGGTACGTGTACCTTCGCCTCTGCCTTGTCACGCAGAACTCAAACACGGTGTTACCCATTACTCGCAATTCCAATTTCATTGTAGGTCTAATGATGTATTTGTTTGATCTGTGGGCGGATGACGTATTCTAAATTTGAAGTGTTCCTTCTGACAGATTATTATGTAGGGCCTAACTCGATATATGCCCCTTGAATATGAAGTAGGCGAGGCTTGCAGCACGCTTTGGAGAGATGAGAAATGCACACAAAATTTTAGTCGGGAAACCTGAAAAGGAACAGACCACTTGGGGGACAAATTGTAGGCGTAGATGAAAGAAAGGGCAGGTTCGAATGGATTTTCTGAGGGTGTGGACTGGTATGGATCCTGCGCCGAGCTGCTTTGAACACACTAATGAACTTCTGGGTTCTACTGGCTGAGAATTTGTTGTCTGACTGAGGAATTATCAGTTTTTCAAAAAGTTCTGCTCCACGAGGTTATTTATTTACTTGAGTGGTTAGTTATTTAGTTATATCATACGAGTAATGCCATATATATATATATATATATATATATATATATATGTTTGTGTGTGTGTGTGTGTGTGTGTTTCGTCCATTTTCATTGCATTTTTGGTCGCATTAATTACGCGCTTAAATAGTATTTGGGCGTATATCTAAAAACATTTATCGGACAGGAAATTTTATTTTATTAAATTATATGCATACATAAAATTAGACTGTATCGTACAAATAGCTGTTTTGGATCATTAATTTCTAAAGAATCCTCAGTAGGCCTATAATAAAAGTAACAGTTACTTTCCCTTATCGAACTCGTCCACACTCACGATCGCCTCACCATTGGATGGTGCTCGCTCGATTTACAACGCGTAGCAGACTTGCGTCATGCATAATCGAAAGGCACCGTCTTCATTTTACCCAAAGGATGGTGCATTTGCCCGTACTTGTGTTCTGTAATCTATTTTGCATGTAGCGATTGTGACCTCCTTCAGTATCTTTGAAGCGAAATGTGTTCTAAGCACGAACACATTTCAAAGCGTTGCTGTAGGCACAACACCTAGGAGAAGCGTGTCTTCTGAAGTCGGTAACGCCTCGAAAGAATACGCAAACCGCAAGAATTAAAACCACGTCAGCCAAGCAAAACAAGAGCTTTGTTTACACAACAGAAAGGCTGCTGGCGGCTACCATTTCGACCTTGGGTGCGCTGCGATTTCTTGTGCAGAAGCAAATATCATTTACGCTTGCTGATTCATAGAAGCGCAGCGTCGAGGGGTTGGCTCTCTTCAGTCGGCTGCATGAGGTAACAGACGACAGTTGCTAAACCGGTGGGTGTGCTGTGGCATTTTGATCCCAAAGACATTCCACCGCATTCAACAACAGCTTCTAATAGCAGTGAGATGTTGCTCGGATCTGTTATCTCCTCTTTCCACTCTTCTTTGTTAAATTTCCGCTACTTAAATTTTTTTGTATGTGTTAATATTTTTACACACTGATTTTTATTCAGAATATCACCGTATTTGTTCTACCACTCCTGTTATCTTCTAAACACTGGATGGCACACTTAAAACTGAACTTTTTATATGTCGACCTGTAAACGTAAAGTGTCACGTCCGGTGTAAATGTTTTACTACGTGCGTTGTTACAATTTGTACATAATGTTCTGCGTCGCAGTTGCAGTGTATGTGTGTTTATTGTAGCGTCCAAGGCCGATTGCTGGTATTATAGAACAGGTTAGAGAATGACATATATCGGCAGAAGCTCTTGAAGCGTGAACCGTGCGTTTTTAAATTCTGCCTTAACAGGAGTTGAATTGGCTGGTTCCATTATTTGACATGTTCCTTCACACTGCCGAGTATATTTTACTCGCATTGTAATTTGTGTTACAACAATACAATGTTGTATGTTGCTCGCACGTTCTGCGTTGTGTAACGTTTTAATACGTCGTGACATGAACAGAGAGACGCATGAAAGAGTTCGTTCAATATTTATTGTTCACAACATAAAATGATATCGATTTACGCCCAGAAAATTCAGTCATATGTGGAATAGGCTGTGGGCGAGGAGTGTGGAAAATATTTCCTAACAGCTGGGTGCAACTCGCGTCGATTCGAAGCAATTTTCACTTCGTCATTTATTAAGAAATTGCTCGCTGGCCGCAGGTTGAGAACTCATGACTTATGCATGCCAAGAACTTCAGCCATTGTCCCGGTCGATATTCGAATACGCCAAGCAAACAGGAACCAGCAACGTGACGTAAAAAGACGTTACAATTGGAATAATTGAACAGAACTACGAAAACAACTCAAATATTAGTCGACATCGACCAGATTTTTGATGACTACAAGTCTCACAAAATGCCGCTCCATAGTAAAATTACGCGGAATAATCGGCGAATATAAACTTTGTCTTCTGAGTTGTATGTGAAGTCTGGTTGAATTTTGATACCGTTTCAGAAGTACTTACTGCCTCCATCATCAGCTACCCATCGCCCTGGTGATGGAGGCAGCAAGTACCTGTGAAACGCTGGTGAACTTCTACCAGACTGCACAGCATTACAACCCAGAAGACAGTGACCATCAATCGAAATTGAGTAGAAGCCCGTTGACATTTCGTGTATCAAGCCTCCAGTTTGGAAAATGTCATCATGCGCTTCAGTGCAATTCCCTGGGAGTGCTACAATAGTTTCCTCACGGGGCCTAACACCCTAGAATGTCGTACTAGCAGAAGCGTTGAAATAATCATGATCTGCTTCACTGTGTCTTACGAGGAAATTTCACAGTGAATGAAAAGTTCGTCAGTCATTTTAGTCATAGGTTTTTCGGGAGGCGAATGAATGTATAGTTCGGCTAGTAGGGCTGGGTATAGTTTTTCGTCCTACATGCAGGTCTGCTGTTTTTCGAAACATTTTTCTGTACTATGCTGTATATTCAGAAAAATACGAGGGAAGAATAAAGCTTTCTCGAATGTTTATACTGTTCATTAGCTTGTCGAAAATTAAAATTTGTAACTGTTATAAATTAATATAAAAACTGTATATATATGAAGATTGATTGCAATTTTAATTAATGAACATTTCCTCTCCAAATTAGAATGAATGATAATCTTAACATCTCTGTTACTTCTGTGAGGCTGGTAGGCTTAATGAAAGTTTGAAATCTATCTTCATTAGTTTACATGAAAACAAAAGAGTTTGAAAGGGGTGAATCCTGTTTTAATTTCGTAAACGTTATTCATCAAAAGCAAATGTTACTCATTTTCTGCCGAGCACTGGGACACAACAAATGTGAAATCGATAAACCAGCGTCCATTACTTTCAGCAAAACCCTTCTTTTGTAGAAGTGTCGTGGTTGCCCACAGATAAAAGAACTGGAGAGAAAGTTTTTGCATAAAAAGCAAGAAAGGGGATTTTATTTCGAAATTTATGAACGCTTTCCCGGTTTTTTCTCTTATTCGTTTCCAGATGTCTCTGTCTTTCGTTTTTTTGCGTCCCAAAGGTTGATTAATCAACTACAACAATAATTGCCTTCCTCTCTTAACTCTCGCATCTCTTTTCGTTCTCACAGCTGTTAAATGTTCCTTTCTTCCCGTACTCGCTTTCCTATTGGTCGAAGAGCCGCGCACTCTGTATTCATGGCCGGGGAATAGGTAGGTAGCAAGACCACGACGGCCTTAGTAGGTAGGGAGAACGCAGTCGAGAGCCGGTTTGGAGCTGTGGTCTGGAGTGACGCGTTGCTTAGTGTCTGACAGATCCACAGGCTCATTCAGTGAAGCGAATTACAGACACCCCAGCTTTTATAAATGGATGAAAACGGAACTGTTGCTGGACGCACGAAATTGGTGGATTTTTGAAAGTTCTATAGAAAAGAAACTTCAAGAACGTTACACGTATGTAATGTGGAAGATCTGCTTACCTGATTTTATGGTAATGAAGAAAATTTAGTGGTTGAGGACGAGGTGACAAATGGTTACAGATTCGTGTGAAACTTTTTCGTTATGTAACGTGTAAAAGCCATCGTTGAAGACCAAGAAGGAAAAGTGTAAGACGCGGGTGTTGTTGGCTCGGGTTCTGTTAAATTTGCTGGAGAGCTGGCTGGACCCAGCTGGACAACCGTAGTAGTGATGGGTGTACTACGCTGGAGAGACCGTGCTTCAACAGACCACACGTCCGCCCCGGGTGCAGGGGAGTGCAGAAAACTCCAGGAAGCTCAGGTGAGTAGGGCGTGTAGCAGTTCACAAAAGCACGAAACGCGCCTGGAGGGACGAGGGTGTTGCATGTGTAAAATTATTAATGGGCTGTATGATGTTCATTTGACAGAAGTAAATGGTTTCACAACAGCATGTAAGTGTATAGTAAATAGACTTGGTATTGTTTTGGCGCTATTGGTGGATGAATACAAACTTGGGTCAGAATATCCCCAGAAGGAACTTCAAATGGAAATCTAGATGGAATGGGAGGATAATACTATTAAAACATCTTAGAGGAATTTGATTTGAAATTAATGAACTGGTTTCGCGTGTCTCGGCATGAAAGGTCAAAGGCCAGGATTTTGCAAACACTTTAATGAAAGTTCGGATCTCACAAAAGAGAAAATTTCTTTGTCGGTTGAGCAACTATCAACTTTTTAATTAATATTTTGCGCCATTAATACAACTGGTACCGCTGGAATGGTACAAGATGAAAGTGATTAATATCATACCAGTACAGTGGTGCGATATTAATCACTTTCATTATGGTAGAATATCAGTTTTGCACTTAGGGTATCTTAAAATCGACTCGGGACGTAATATAGAACCTCATTTTCCATGTTATAATTATTAATACATTGTATAAATAGTAATAATATGTATATTTTTCCTTTTGTCTTAAAATAAATAGTGTAGTTTATAAATAATTATGATTATTCGTTGATTGTCCACTTCGGCTGGTTTACCGTGGTCATCTTCCATGAGCATAAATGCAGTCGGTCGTTAGCCACAGCTCTGAGAACTGATTTCTCAAAACCGTTATAAGTCAGGACTCCAGTTACAAGAAATCGATTCTCTGCGTCATCGTTGTTGTTGTTTCTGTTGCTGATTTGAATTTTTGTTTCATCTCATCGTCCCCTTTAAGACTTGTGCTAAATGCTCCAGAGACGTGCTTGTGTTTTATTTCACGCTCTGAGTTCCGAAGCAATTTGACACATTCGTGCTGCATCAGTTGCTTGCCGTGGGTAGAAGTGAATGGCGTGAAGTGAGGAAATCAGATAGGCGTTAGTTGCTTGGAACAATTGGAAGGAATTGTTTCGAGAGGTCGTTATAGGTTACAGATCCGTTTTACCGAAGAGCCGCTAGCAGAGGCGGCGCCTTACAGTGGGACCTGTTTCTAGGGGGTGGCATTACCTTACCCACTCCTCGTCCACTCTGAGAAATTGAAGAAATGGTACTCGTGAGTTGCACATTACAGGTACCGACCGTGAGTATGGACTTCGTTACCGGGCAGACGTGCATGTGCCTGAAGGACGAAAGACTTTGTAACATGTTCTGTGCTACGGACGAGATGTATCGCCTCGAACCTGCGTCTTTGACTGGCGAATGTGGTACCTTTCTTGACGCTTAGGTCAACACTTTCTAGGTTGAAATGTGAGGTTTTCACGGCGATGAAGCTGTCAATTATAGTCTTCTGGCTTTTGACGCTATGTGGACTCGTAAGTGGGGACCCTAGAGTGGAGGCAGCGTGTTCCTCGAAACGTTTGGTACCCACCTGGAAATGTACACGGTGCCACAACCCAGAAGATCACCGTTGGCAGTTTGTTGGTTACAGAGAATTAAATTTGTCCGGTACCAAGGAAGTATTGAGCGTAAGATTTGCAACACGATCGATGACGCTGATAAAGGTACCTGTAAACGCGCTTCTAAGCACCTTGCCACGTAGGATTATGATGGATGTGGAGGCAGATCTCCACGTCAAGGCCGGGAGGTGGTGAACGGTAAGGTTCACTCTGTGGACGTGGTACCTCCTCGTTCCATGTGCCGCAGATCCGTGACGTGGTAGCCGGGATAAATAAATCCTTGCCGTCACTGAGAATCGAATTCCGATCGTCCATTCCATGGCGTCTCTTCACCGAGTTATCCCGTCTAACACAAGAGTAGTGATAGGTAGAACTGGCGTATCCCAACCAAGGCGAGTGATTGTGTGGCGAGAAACGAAATTGTTCATTACTCTGGACGTGTTGCTACGTGACCTCGCTTGTTAGCCAAACTCTGCAGCGCCCTCACAGATTGGATAACGTCGCCCCGGTTCTCAAACATCATATCATGACGGCGCATGTGGACCATCGAGAAAGGACCGCGTGTTTTTAATCCCCGGTAATCATTATAAATTAGAATGAATTAGATTCGGAAACAAAGAGTGGCAAGAGAAGTTAAGCGGCTGAGGAGATAAGAATGTTGTAGTAAAGTGGTCCCGCAGGTCAGTAAAATGTTATATAATTCGCCGCCGCTCTCTTCCGACACGACTTGATACTTTGTAGCCCGTTTTTAGGTTTAGAAAGTCAATTATCTTACCATCTACTCCTGGCTAATCCTACATTTCCCTTTTAGTCTCAGGTTGTATGTGTGTCATTTTGTGGATAGCGTAACCCATGAGTCAGTGAATTATATACAAGTTTATGTAGCCTTGATAAAATATCTATTCTGAAATGTCCTAAATATCGGTCTAAACTAAGAGCCTGCTATATGCGATGTTTTTGTTCTCGCCCACGAATTATGATCACAGAAAAATAAATCTCGGCGTCTGACTGACGCACACACCATAACTGTCAAAAAGTACTTAGCTATCAGGTAAGCTGTAAATATGTAGCTTACTGAAATTATACTTTAAACCGAAAATTTGTAAGACGAAATCACGTCGGAGGAACTCAGCATTCACCTGCCGTGAACTTGCATCGAACCAGACACATTTAGTTCAATGCCTCCCAACGGCCGTTCAAACAGAAATGCTCATTAACCCGTTAATAATTCGCGTGTCGTAATAACTGTGTTACCAACCTGAACTTATTATTATAATAATTACCATTTAGTATTTAATTAGTCCCAGAGACAAAAACTGTCTTTAGTTTCGTTTGCAGTACTAACATGTTTCAAAGAATCACGCCATTTATCGATTAGAAAACTTCGACTCTCATTAAAAATGACGTTTGGAGAACAGGAACGCACTAAAGTTGCATGGTCTTTCAACAAAATTAAAACTCTTGTTTTTGAACTGAGCGGTTGTCAATACCAGGACAGTCCGTAAGAGGGCTGTGGTGTCAAAGTTTACCCCAGAATCGCTTTTAATATTATCCTTCCATACACGCTTGGTCCGCATAACTTGTTTTGTTTCTTTAGATTTTTTTGGCCGAAATGAGAGTCCGACGGGATAACTGAACAGGGCTGAACAAACTCTAACCTCTGTTACCACATTACAGTCTATCCTCGTCCTATTAAATGCATTGCCACTTTTATCAGACTGTTGGGCCCACGGCCGAGATTGCTGTGAAAATGAAACAATGCCACTCGTTGGACACATTTCCTGATGATCTATAATGGATTCGGTGGTTGTTAATAGAACTGGATTATAGTTCTTTGTTCGGTTTTTGAGGTTTCCCGTGCTACGCTGTCAGCTGCTCACAAATCCGCCGGGTGTAGTTTTAACACGTTGGCAGATGTTCCGTTGTCTGGCGCGGATAGAATTATGTGGCTTTCCTTGAATGCGGTGTATTACTAGCCGGGGTCGATCTCAGAATAGTCGATGCAGCAATGTGTGACACAGCGGAACACGTACAACTGCTGAGTTTGGTGCTGACAGTGTCCGCGCAGAGTAAGGCATGTCTTGTTTGGACCTTTCGAACACTAAGACCTCTGGTTCGAATTCCGTTCGAGGGATGGTTATATAATTACGTGCGTTTTTTTAGGTGTGTTTGCAACTGTAATGTGCAAAAATACCAGACTCAGCTGTTGCCATGTCAAATTTAATTAACCTCTGACAGAAGTCCTGCCTCGTACAAGGAAGGAGCCATGCCAAATACCTAAGGAGACGACATTTCACATCCGTTTCCAGAACTTTCTCCTAACAAGTCTTTCATATGTTACGAGTATATGCAAATATTATATGTATTGCTGTGCTGTGTGTTCCTAATCCAGCATTTTTACAATGTTGCATTGTTATTTGTTTACATGTGTATTTAGTTATTTGTACTTTATAGGCATACTATGTTTGAGAAAGTAAAATTTATAAGGGCCGCGTTATGAACCCTTTCAATGGCGCAGACTTGATTTATTATTTATAAACACCCGCTACTTCTACATTGATCACCTAATTTTAATTATGTCAGAGAGAATAAATTTCTGTACCATCTTCTGTTTTTCAGTATCTCAAATAATGAACCATCATGCATATAAATGAAGGCGTTTATTTTCTTAAACTCAGGATTTTAAGGGTTAACAAGACGTGAATACAGTCACGGGCTGTAGTTTGTTCACCCCACAGGTAAATTATCGAAATCATGCAATTCCTGATACGGCTTGTGTTTCTCTGTTTCGTCACAGTTTTCATGCTGCTCCTGTGTGAGAGCTCAGTACTTTCTCAGTTGTCTGAGATGTAAAGAGTCGATGAAGTTTCGGTAAAGGTCTCAGGCAAGGCTTGTAAGTAGCCGGAGGAGAAGCCTCGATCCTATTTGGAACAATTAATTCGGAAATTGTAATAAGCTTATAAAAGATGTAAGTACAGCTTTGCGGTCCGTAAGCCTAGTATCCCCCTGCCCCTCCTGCGAGATATATTATCAGTTGTTTCCGTTCCCATAGCAACATCTCTGTAATGCAGACAGAATTTGAAGTTGGGATTTCATAAATTCTCAGTTGATGGAGTTGGAAGGATATGGCAGAAAGGCCACAATCTCCACGGTGTCATAAGTTATAGTATAGGCACTATTTTTCTGTGTTAAATTTCTTCTAAAGATCAAATTGTGGATGCTTTCGATTATTATCTTTATCCACTGAAGTATGTGCGATTTTTTTTGATGTAGTTTATTTGGGTTGTGTTTTATGTTTTGTGCAAAGAAAATCTGTTTACGTGATTTATTCTACTCTGAACAGGTTTTAACGGTGAGAAATTATTCACATTGAAGTTCCACGCCTTCTATGGAAGCTAAAAAGAATGCGATTTTAGAAACCGATATTTATGCTCAGGTGAA